GGGCCCTGGCCTAGAGCCTTCCCTCTCGGGAGGGGAATCGGGCTTAGCTGACCAGCCTCCCCCCTCGGCTGTTGGAGTTTGTGAAGATTTTTCTAAAAGTGTGTTGTAACTTGGTTCCCATTTTTTCTAGGGAAGGCAAGAAAGGTCGCTTGGACTTTACTATTATTATTATTATTCTCATCATCATCATCTTACACTAACTGCTCCAGAAAGAAGTCTCATACTTTTTTGAAGTTTAGTTTTAACGCAAGATTTCAACTGCTTTGTTGGTTTTTAAAACAATTTTCTCTGATTTTTATATTAAAATTGTATTCCTTACACTTTGCAGATTTCACTTTCTCACAGTACAAACACATAGGATAGTAAAAGTCCCTTTTACAGTCTCACTCTCTCACTTTGCCTTTTTTTTTTCCGATAGGGAGATAATTTTATCTCAGTTGTGTTAATCAATCTGACAACTCTACCAATTCCAGTTTTTCTAAAAACACTTCCTGAAATCCTTAATGAATAAATTATCATTATAATATAAGCAATTATTTTTTCAATCATAGAAATATATAACAGTAGGTAGAATTTGGCACTTTAAAAATGATGCAATATAGTTGTCTACTACACATCATAGTACCAAACTTAAAATTTAGATGTTTTTAACTAGTAAAATATTAAAGCATTAAGTATTTATCAAATAAACAATTAAGTAAATTTAGTATTTAATAAGTTATAAGTATTAAGCATTTAAATATTCAAATACAGAATTATAAATATTTCTGCACTGAAATAACATTGTATGCACACGTCTATACATATCTTTCAGAGTTTCCTAAGTGCATTCATGTAGATTATCTCATGTGACCTTCCCAGTTCTATAGGATAGGCAGATACCCTTATGTGAGACCAGGAAATGAGTTCAGGGGGTTAAGGTCCTATCCGGACCTAGACTTCTGATCTGATTTGGTCCCTAGTTCCCTACATAATTTCCCTGAGATCATGACAATGAGATCAAAGGCAACAGGAGGAATCACAAAGGGTTATCTATCTCTCTATATCCTGGGCTCCTATAAATTCAGTCTGAACTTCAGTTAGACCTTATCTTTCAACTGCAGAACAAGGGAACTCACACTTGTGATGTCAAGGGAAGCAAGGGGTCAGCACATTTGGAGAGTGACTAGGAGATGGAAGTGTCAAAACTTTCAAGTTGGCACAATTTGTCACAGTTCAAGATTAAGCAGAAAGATTTCAGTGGAAGGAGAATTTCAAAAGCCAATTGAATGAACAAGCTTGGATAAGATGGAACATTAAAAATGTCACAATTCTATGTGTCTTGCAAAACCCAGCAGTACCAATTTTCCCATTCTGTATCATGCTTGGAAATGTCTAAATTACCTACAGCACCGTGAAAGTTCAGGGCTGGCCTGATTAAGGTAAAAATGATACACAAATGTTCATGTTTAATGAGAAAGTAGAATTTCAGCTCTACTAGGCCCACAAAGATGCTTGCTTTGAAGTCACCTATAAATAAGGAACAACAAAAATGCCTAAATGCCAAGCAATAGCTAAATGGCTAAGTAATTTATAGTAAATCAATGTGATATGCTATTTTGTAGCCATTTTTAAAATACAAGAGTGTAAATTTGCATAAAACACTGTGATATGTTAGGTGAGCACACTTTGAGCAGTAAATCCCTGGGTCACTGTCCTCCATCTTGCCTGTATATTGGAAGTGATGGAAGAGCTTTAAAAAATACTGATGCTGGTCCATAACAGACGCAGACAGAGATTCTGATTCATTTGGGATGGGGTGAAGCCTGGATATCGAGATGTCTTAAGACTCTAGGTAATTCTCATGTGCAACAAAATTTGAGAAACACTGGGCTAACCTGACCAGCTCCTGCGTGGAAAGCAATTCAGTTTCGGTCATTGGTTGCTGGGAGGCTGGATGAGCCAGTCCTAGAGGATGATGGTCACAGGCAAGCAGAGGAAGGACAGCCTGGCAAGTGTCTTTCCTGCACAGCCTGACACCCACATAGCAGGGATCCGGTCCATGATGCCCAGAGTATGGAGCAGGAGTGCTCTCTGGAGGCTTGGTGCAAGTAAGCTGTCCTATAGTTCTAAAGGAATTGAGATTCCAGGCAGGGACTTGGGCACGGGAGCACCACACCAGGATTCGGGTACAAGGCCTGGGGTATACAGCTGTGGGCTTGGTTACTAAGGAAAGAGGTGAGAGGTCAGTTACTAAAACTAGGTTATGGCGTCAGAGTCTGTCCAGGAAAAGGCTAGAGAGACTGTGTGTAGGTTAAGCTCCTTACGGTCAGTGGCAAGAAATAAGATGATTAGGAGACTAAGTCTTAGGCCAGAGGAGAAGACAAAGTAGACAAATTAGGGGTGGTAGGCCAGATAATTGTACACCAAAGGGGTGCACATCCTAATGGCTAAATCCTGGGAATATATTATGCTACATGGCAAAATACTGATGTGATTAAACAAGGATGTTTTTTCATAACTTTATATATTATTTCATTCATAGCAATAATATGAAGCAACTGGAAGCAAGCCATGTGTCCATCAGCAGGAGAGTGGAATTAAAAATTGTAGCCTGTTTTACAATGGAATATTACTTGGCAATAAAACAGAAAGAACCATTGACTCACAGGAAAACAGGAATGAATTTCAAAAACATTATGTTAAGTGGAAGAAGCCAAACACAAAAGAGTACTGTATAATTCCATTTATATGAAATTTAGCAACATGCAAAACTAATCAAAAGAGAATGGTGGCTGCCTATGGAGAGACTGAAGATTGAGTAGAAGGGGAAAAAGAGGAGCTGGGGCAACGGAAATGTTCTGTATCCTGAATGGGGTGTTGGTTGGATGGGTATAACATTTACCGAAATTTATTCAATTATATACATTTAGGATTTGTTGCATTTTTCTGTATAAATAAGAATCTTGAGATGAGGTGATTTTCCTGAATTATCTGGGCGGGCTCAGGGTGGCAGGAGAGTCAGAGGAATTCAGTGTGAGAAGAACTCAACCTGCCATTGACGGCTTAAAGGCAGGGAAAGGGAACCTTGAGTCAAGGGGACCTTGAGTCGGGTGCTGGAAAGGCAAAGAAGCAGAGCCTCCAGAAAGAACCAGCTCTGGGGACACCTTGATTTCAGACAAGTAAATGTCCATTTGCACGTCTGACTTCCAGAATGGTAAGGTGATAAATCTGTGTTGTTTGAAGCCACTAGATATATGTTCATTTATTTTAGCAACAATAGGGGACTAATACATAAGGTAAATAATCTCTCCCAGAAATCATGTGTAGATGATGTTATGGGGGAAAATAATGCATAGCTATATTAAAATCTAGGTAGATACTGAAGATTCCATTTGTGCCAGTGATAAAGAAAGGTCAGATAAAGAAGGAATTTGAGGATATTATGTGAATTATAAAGGAGAAGAGGAAAAAGAATAAAAAATCAAGGGAACCCACTAGATAGGAGAACATATTTGCCAATGATACATCTGATAAGGGATTAATTTCCAAAATATATAAAGAATTTATACAACACCAGGAAGATAAACATCCCAATTAAAAACTGGGCAAAGGACCTGAATAGACACTTCTCCAAAAAGGACTGCTCAATGTCATTAATCATCAGAGAGATGCAAATTAAAAACACAAGAGTGAAGGGGAATGGGGATTCGTGCACCCGTGGGGTCCCTCGGCCTAGCCTGCACCCTCTCGCAATCCGGGACCCCTCGGGGGATGTCAGACTGCCAGTTTCGGCCCTATCCCCACAGGCTAGGCCAATGGACCCCACCGGTGCACAAATCCATGCACCAGGCCTCTAGTATGCATATAAGATCTTTGGTTAATCTCTTCCCACCTTCCCCTCTCCCCCTTCCCTCTGACATTCATCAGTCTGTTCTATGTTTCCATGCCTGTGCGTTGCGCATCTGCCCCCTGGTGGTCATTGCACATCATAGCTACCGGACAGTCAGCTGGTCAGCCGGTCAGATGATCAGGCAGTTGCTTAGGCTTTTATATATATAGATATGCATAACCCTTGGACACAAACAATAGTGTAGTGAAGACCTGGGGGAGGGGAGAATGGAGTGGAGAGGGTCAGTATGACAATAATGTTGTTTCATTCAACAATATGTAATAATGTTGCAGTTCTTGTATGTTCCAAGCATTGTGCAAAACATGTAACATAGACAATCTTAAAGTTCTATAAATGTCCCAAAGTGGCAGAAAGTAATGTAAGCTACTAAATATAAACAGAATTCACAGTTACAGCAACATAACCTAACTGGCCACCTTAAAAAAAAAGACAAATTAATTGGAGAGATATTAGGAGGCAGGAATAATGGGGTTCACAGAATCCACAGGAGGCTGAAGGACAAGGCTTGAAGAACACATAAAAACCAAGAGAGTTAAGATTCTAGGCAATAGGATCATGGCCAAGGTCATCCACATAAACAGTACAGCTGAAGGAAACTACAGCACAGTGAGCTGTCTGACCTTCGACATTCACTTCACCTGTTTTACTAGCTCAAGGTCCAAAACCGGGGAACCAATAACTGATCAGTTCAGCTTAAATTGTGTGCCCCAGGTGAGGGTAGTAGAGGCATCGCCCCTCTCTCCCATAGTAGGACTTGGGAGTGAGGAAGAGAGAAAAATATTTTACACAATAGGAACCCTTCCTGCCCCACACCCCAGTCCAAGGAGAGAACAGTGTGCTAACAGGAGGAGACAACCAAAATAGCTAATGTCTTCTACTGGTTGTGAGGAAGAGCTTTATGGAAAGAATGAGACTTGATCAGTAAAGAATCAGTATGACTTGGAAAGGCAGAAAAAGAAGTTTGCGAAGAATAGCCTAAGCAAGGAAACAAAGGCAAAAAAAAAAAACCACACAAAAAAAACAGGACATGTTTGGAGGGTAGGGCCACAGGCAGACTGGATGAGACACAGCTCAGGTCATCTCAGTGCTGGACCAACCTGGCACCTACCTGAGCTCTTGGCCCTCTGCTCTGGCCTCTCCTGACAGCTGTTGGAGTTTCTCTTCTTTCTTTTACGGTTGGCCTTGCTGGAACACCGCCTGCCACACTGCTTAAGACCTGAAGCAGCTACCAAATAGCCAATGAGAAAACCCAGAAGTGGGATCCAGTTTATCCCCTGTTAGGGGGAATGTTGATTAATGAGAAATAGACGACAAAGGGAGCCGGACTGAGGAGTGTCTCCTGTTTCTCTCTGCCACGCACAGCTTGAAGGCCCGGGGTCTCCCTACAGCCTGCCCCAAGAAGCCAGCATGCAGACACCTTCATCAGGCCCCGTGTTAGTTCTTGTTGGCTCAGCCTGAAGCAGAAGCGGCACCTGACACCTCTCTCTGTGCAGCTTCCCACCTCTCCTTCCATTCCCTCATTCTCTTCTCTGTTGCCATGGATTTCACTTTTCAAATAAAACATCCGCATTTTCGCCTTTGCCTCAGCATCTGTGTATGGGTATGCTTAGTTAAGAACTGCCTCTCCTAAAGGCAGTAATTCATTGAGAAGCGGTAACAGGTTTAGATACTGCAACGAGGCCACCATAAGTAGGACTGTATCAGGGTGAGGAATTAGAGCTTGAAGCAGAGGTCACGTGAAATTACTATAGAGTCTTAAGCAGAGAAACAATAAGACCAAAGTCTTTCTAAGGAAAATCTATCTGTTAGCAGTAAACAGAAAGAGTGAAATCAAGAGAAATGGGAGGTGGGGGCCTAGGATAGTAACAGGGTGGAGGTGGGGAAGGCATAGGACAGTGATGGCGAACCTATGACACACGTGTCAGAGGTGACACCCAAACTCATTTTTTTGGTTGATTTTTCTCTGTTAAATGGCATTTAAATATATAAAATAAATATCAAAAATATAAGTCTTTGTTTTACTATGGTTGCAAATATCAAAAAATTTCTATATGTGACACAGCACCAGAGTTAAGTTAGGGTTTTTCAAAATGCTGACACGCCGAGCTCAAAAGGTTCACCATCACTGGCATAGGAGATAGTGGCAGTGGGAATGGGGAATGGAGAGAATAAAGTGGGATTTCAAAAGAGGAAACATGACTTAGAAACTAATTGGCTACAGATGATAAAGGAAATTGGGAATTTAAAATTTCCTTTGTGGGAATGAAAAAAAATAGGTTAGAGGGGAAGGTGAGCCAATAGGAGAGGAAATAATGCATACAGTTGATTGTTGTGGTTCGGCAGTTACCAGATAGTCAAATGGAGATGTTAGAAAAACAGCTGGGAATTCAAGACAGATGGAGAGCTCAGTCTTCTTTGCATGATCACAAAGCCATGGACACGAATGAGCTCACAAACAGTGGGACTGCTCAGAGAGAGGACGTGAGGGGCTCCCGTGAAAGCGCGGCCAGGGAAGAGCTCCTGGCAGATGGCAGACAACTTCATGAAGAGGACGTGCAGAATTGGTCCAGTGAAGGTAAAAGTTATAGCAAGGAAATCTGGAGAAGGAGAAAGCACCAAGGATGAAGCAATGGCTATGGTGAACGGTCCAGAAAGTTATTGAGAAGAGAAGTGACACTTACTTTAATGGGCATTCTCTGTTATATCAGCTGCTTAAGCCTCACGTGCAAGATAAACATTATTTCCTCAATAGAGGCTCAGAGAGGATAATCAACTTGCTTAAAGTCACTCAGCCATAAAGTGTATCAGTTAGTTTTTGCTATGTCACAAATCAACCCCAAATTTAATGGATTAGAGCAAAAATGATTTTTCTCAAATGATTCCATGGGGTGGTGGTTGCGCTGGCTCGGCTGGTTGCTTTTCCTGCTGGTCTTCCTGGGTTCCTTCATGTGTCTGCAGTCAACTCCAGATTAAGGAACTAGGTGATTTAGGGGAGCCACAGCTGGGATGCATGGGGCAAACACTCAGAATTCACCATTGTCACAGAATGCTAATAGGTTTAGCGAATTATAAATTAGAACAAAGTTAGAATTAGAACAAAATATCCCAAATAACAGGAATTCAGAGCAAATCTAATTATAGGAGTTGCTGACAGCACATCATAATACAACAATTATTAGACCTAACAGCTATTGAGCATTTGCAGTGGGCCAGGGACTGCTCTAAGGGCTTTTGTAGATGATCTCATTCAGTCTCCACTACAACTGAGGCAGCAAAAGAAGAACATTACCTGCTGGATCTTAAAGTTTCCATTTACATTTATTGGTCAAGGGAAGTCACTTGGCCATACCTAATCTCAGTAGAATCCCCTCATGTGCTTGTAAGTAGAGGAGAACCAGAAACTTTTAGAGAAATTGTGCCTATGACAACAAAGAAATTCTTGTGAACTATGCTAAGACATGATGAGCAGGCAGATTAGAGCAAGGACACTGATATAAGAATCCCAGCTGAGTGTGTAAAAGTGTAGCAGGCAGTTAAGATAGTCATGAGCAGAGCAGGAATGATGAGCCAGGTGCAGAGATCAACAGGTTGGATGGCCTCGGGTGCCTGGCAACAGGCAAAACTACAAGCCCTTGCACCAAAACTCCCTTAAGCATTAACCCCTAGAGATGACATCTAGGCCTCAGTTGTATTTCAGCTCCAGGCAGAAAAACCAGGTGGAGCTATATGATGGCTAACATCAGGACCAGCTGCAAAGACTAATGACACTCTCCCATGGACCCAGCCAATCAGTAGAGGCCATGCCCTAAGGAGACACACCAAAAAAGTTCATGAATATTCTATTGAGATCCTCCCCAGATGCCTTGGGTAAAAGCCCTCAGGATGGAGGGCCAGGCTGCTCTCTTTGTGGAGCACAAGCCTTTCCCAACTTCCTTCTTTCCCCAGGGTGTGTTTTTTCTCTTTCCTCCCTCAAGGTGCATATCTCTCTCCCTCTTCCTCCTAAACTCCAAGGGCCTTCCTTTTGCTGTAACTTCTTTCCTGAGCCCATTTCTTCTACAAATCACTTCTTCTACCTCTGTGACTTTCTAAATAAGCTTTCTCAAAGTTTGTCTTGGCTCTGAATTCTTCTCTTAGCCAGAGCTCAGGAACTGAGGTTGCTGAACCAAGGTGACCACCTGGTACAGTTTTCCCGCTGCTAACAGGAGGTGCAATGGAGAGCAAGAGAGGAAGATGAGCAGTGAGGCCAGATGAGGGGTGAGCAAGATCAACCCAAGCTAGTATCAAAAACACAGTGAAGATCGCTTTCCAAAGGTAGTTGTGCAGATGAAGGATGCTGCAAACTGGGAAGCTTATTATTAGAGCAGCTTGGGGGTTCTCCTGATACCCTCCTCCAAGCCAGGAAACTCGATTCTGTGTTAGGATTGGGAGGTTCTTTTCCTTCTGGTCCAGACATTCTTTAAGTCCGTCCTGGGACAACATATGCTCAGTTCAAGGTGTGGAATGAGACAAGAAAGGCCTTAAGTAACAAGCGACCAGAGTCACATTATCTCCAGGGCCCAGGTCTCCATACTGGGCATGAGCCAGGGGCTCTGACCGAGACCATTTGAAAAATCAAATCGTTCAGCTGTGAGTCAGTATTTAATTTAGGCTCCTCATTACGATTCTTCCCAAGGTTTAGCTTTGAGGTTTCCTAACAACTAAGACAAAGATGAAAATTCCAATGGCTACATAGTTTTCTTTTTTTAATAAAAGAAATCAGCAGGATGAACAAATATAAATCCAAGAATGAATTCATTATTTATAAATTATCAACATAATGGACAATATTTTCAGTTACAGGTTTCCAAGAGACAGTGCTATTCAAACAGATTCTTCTGTTGACCTTCTGGAGTGCCCAGGGCACAGCTTCACATCTGTAACAGGGAGGGCTTTTAGGAAGAATGGGGGCTATTGAGATAATGAGGCCACATTTGTTTGTTTTTCGATTACCTACATTCCTAAGGTATTTAGGGCCTAAATAACCTAGAAGCATGCACCGATTAGATCATTTTGCTTAAATATCAGATGTTTCAAGTCAGCCTCTACCAGATCTCAGTCAGTTTATGCTTGAATTCTCTAACAACTACACTAATGCATCAGGAGTAGAGAACGTAAGTTATGCATAGCTCCATACCTCACACGTGAAAAGCTACAATCCTGTAATCTAGTCTTATTTTAATGAGAACCATTGGTGCAAGGCAGACTTCTTAAATTTCAGCACAGACACCAGAGAAGAAAGCAAAACATATGTAGTGGGGAAAAATAAACAGATTTCAAGAGCAAAGCAGCATATGTCTTTCCTTTCTGAGAGTTAAGCCAAAAATGTCCTCCCTTCAAAGCCAGAAGGACAAGCTAACCAGCAAGGATTCAAAACAAAATAACCCATGTGAAGGAAAGGAAAAGAGAGAGTTGAAAGAAGGTCACATACCACATGTGCTGGTCACAATGTCACGACTGTTCAAGGGGGAGCTTAATCTACTCCTCTCCCAATTGCCAGCTCATTGAGCTGGAGGATTTGCTTGACATGTGTCTTAATTGAATTGATATTTTTCATTAACATTTTACACAGTTTTGGTTTTCAGGAATGGCTCCATAGGCAATTGCTACTCATGAAAGGCTGGATTTTACTAGTAATTATGAGATGAAGATCATATATGATTAATTTTACTAAGGACATTTGTGTTCCCCAAAGCCTGTATATATGACTGTGGATAAAAGCACTACTGGTTAAAACCCCACCTTCCTTCTTGCTAACAAACCCTCAGATTATCCAAGTTTAAGATTGTCTGTGTCCAAGGGAAGGCAGCTCTTTCTAACCCCCAGGAATGAAGTTGGTAAATTCATATTGATCCAGGTAATTCTATTCTGTTTACCAGGATTGACTTAGATACAAGCTGGTGACTCAGCTCTTTTTTCTTAATCAATATTATTGAGATATATTTATGAATATAATATAATATATAACTAGAGGCCCAGTGCATAGATTCATGCACTGATGGGGTCCCTCAGCCTGGCCTGTGCCCTCTCGCAATCCGGGACCCTTCAGGGGATGTCCAACTGCCGAGTTCGGTCCGATCCCCGCAGGCCAGGCCAAGGGACCCCACTGTGTTTATCCTCTTTCACTTAACATAATGTGTTTGCAATTCATCCAAGTTGTGTAATTCAGCAGCCTATTCCTTTCATAGTTGAATAGTTTTCCTTATATGGCTATCCCAAAACTTACTTATCAATTTGGGTGACTTAAATTTTAGCTCATATGCAAAAAGCTGTTATGAACATTCAAGTACAAATCTTTGTGTAGGCAAGTGTTATCATTTCTCTTGAGTAAATACATGGAAGTGGGTTTGCTGAATCATAGGGTAAATATATATGAACTTCTTAAAAAGCTGCAGAAACGCTTTCCAGCATAGGAGTCCCATCAGCAATATATAAGACTAGAGGACCGGTGCACAACATTCGTGCACTCGGGCAAGGGGGGCGGTCCCTCAGCCCGGCCTGTGCCCTTTAGCAGTCCAGGAGCCCTCGGGGGAT